GGTTAAAACTCCAAGTGGCGATGAGTTCTTAACATGTATGGAAAGGGTCTTAAAAAAGGTCTTAAAAGGTATTACATTTGACTTCAGGATTCCTGCATATACCCTGTTGGAATGAATCTAGTTATATGTCATCTCTTCTTTATTTTCATCTGGAAAAGTATTTGTGCATGAATATTCAATGTTGTGTTGTTGTTGACTTTAAAGACATTTTTTTTTAAAGCCCCTAAAGGAAAGTATGGTCTTTTTTGTTCAGAGGATCCTGGGTGCAGTACAGCAGAACGCCACCAGAGGGGACCCTCGCAGCGTGGTGAGAGCCATCGATCAGTACTGCAGGAACCAGGAGTGGGCCATGAATGTGGGGGATGAGAAAGGTACTGTCTCCTCATCAGTGGTGTAAAGTCACTAAGTGGATTCACTCAAGTACTGTACTTAAGTACAATTTTGAGGTACTTGTACTTTACTTGAATATTTCAATTTGTTGCTGCTTTGTACTTTTACTCCACTACAATTAAATATCTTAGTTACTTTGCAGATTTGGATTAATGATGTGAAATATAATCAACACTTAAATAACACTTTAGTTCCACCTGGAGTGAATTCACAAGCTACCCTGCAGTATACAAAGTCATTAAAACTAGCTGCACCTTTACCAGCTTTGATAAACACTTTATTGATACATACAATTCTGAAATAGACCAATCTGCATAATGAGGACTTTTGGTTACTTCAAGTATATTTTGGTGCCAATGTTTTTATACTTTTACTTGAGTAACATTTTGATTGCAGGATTTCTACTTGTAACAGAGTATTCCTACACTCTGGTATTTCTACTGTTACAAAATATCTGAGTACTTCTTCCACCTCTGCTCCTCATCATATTATATCTTTTAAATGACCTTACATGACTCAGCTGTGTTTAATCAAATCTTCTTTGTGTCTCTGTATTGCAACAGGCTGCATCCTGGACTCAGTTGTGTCTGAGGTGAACCCGGCCACAGTGTTGGAGCTGGGAACGTACTGCGGATACTCCACGGTGCGCATCGCCAGCCTGCTGCCCCCCCACGCCAAACTCATCACTATTGAATTTAACCCCGAATTCGCTGTGATCGCTCGACAAGTCATCGCCTGGGCGGGACTGGAGGACAAGGTAGAGTCGCACAACATGTCAGAAGCAATCATTAATGTGTCCAGTCCAGTGTGCTGTTACGCAATGTATTTATTTGACAAGTTAAGGTAATAGTTACTTTTCAGGCTCTCATTATATACAAACATACATTGTCTAATGAAGTAGGATCTGGCAATATCAAAACGAATTAAAGCTTACAAAATGTCTGATGACAATAAAGAGATTCTGATGCTCATCATTTGACTAAAGTAACAAATGAAATACAAACTTTGACGTAGAACTGAGTGTTTCTACACGGTGGTATTATTACTCTTACATGGGGCATACTGCGGACGCTCTGGGGTGCACAGGCAGTATTAGGAAAAATGCACTTTTTAAACATTAAAGCATATAAACATGTCTCAGTAAAGGCACAATATACAAATATGAAATCTGAAAATAAGCATAATAGGCTTGTTTACTTTGACATGTGTCTGTGCACTTCTTCCACCACTGGTTTCTTGTTTCTAGATCGAGTTAGTCGAAGGAGACTCTGGAGACTTAATCCCCAAAATGAAGGAGCAGTTTGGGGTGGAAACGTTTGATTTGGTGTTCCTGGATCACTGGAAAGATCGTTACCTCCCAGACACAAAACTGATGGAGGCAAGTGCTGCTTTTTTACTGAGAAAACTATTTTATTTGTTCCGCCATGATGCCATAAATGATGCTTTTTTCCATCAGGAGTGTGGCCTCCTTAGGAAGGGCAGCGTCCTGCTGGCGGACAACGTCATCTGCCCCGGAACTCCTGAGTACCTGGAGTTTGTGCGGAGCAGCCCACGCTACAAGAGCCAATACTTCAAATCTCACCTGGAGTACACCAAAGTGGAGGATGGCCTGGAGAAGTCGGTCTTCTTAGGGTAGTTTTTAACCCAAAAGAGTAACGCTTTTCCATAGGTGCTTGTTAACCTCTTGGTTTCCCTCAGTCTGTTTTTCTAGAAGTCTTGAAATTAAACATAACATGTGAAGGAATTTGTGTTGCGTGCTTTATTTTCTTATCACCACATGATAGATTTCATATGTAATGCACTCTGTCTACATTAGTACAGCAGGCGGCAGTAGTGATGCTACGTTCAAGCATCTAATTGACGGCTGCAAACTGATACAGAGCTAGGGGGGGGGGGGGGGGGGGCTTCTTTTCCCAGGGTACCAAATAAAATCAATAATAAATCTAATCCAGATGCATTCTTTGGGGCACAGACCTATTTACCGCTCTGATATGCTCCACCATTGTTGACAGGTGTGTGTGTGTGTGTGTGTGTGTGTGTGGGGAGAGAGTGTGTGTGGCCTGTGAGTGTGTGTGTGTACACGTGAATTAAATCGCTGCTCATCTAATCTCTCAAAGTGAGGGGGGGTGGGGGCTCGTGCATTTGGTTCAGCTGCATGAAAAAAAAAAAAGGAGCGGGCTAGTCGTCCACCTAGTGCTTTCTTCACAGACGCCTGAATGATAATCCCAATCTGTGGCCATTAGTGCACCGAGAGATCGAGCAAGGAGAGAGTTCAGCAGAGAGGGGGAGAGAGAGAGGGAGAGGGAGAGTGCCTGGACAGAGATGCACACAGAGGAAAAAGACAGAGAGAGAGAGAGAGAGGGAGCTTTTAAGGGATTTGGCGGTGATTTGTAGAATCTCACTGCTGTAATGTTTAGCTTTTTCCTCCACTTTTCTCGTGACACTTCACCCTGACGAGATTGCATTTCAGTTCTTCTTCTTTAACCATTGTTTTTGTTCTGTTTCTTTTTGAGAGTGCACGCAGCTGTCTGAGATGATAAAGGATTTACTTTTGGTGGTGAGAGGAGAGCCTTGCCTCTAGATATTTATATATATAATCACATTTAGGACCATGGATGGGAGGCCTGTTGGGAAAACGCATGTGATGGATAAAATCAAGAGCGGTCGATGAAGAATGGGCAGGTAAGAAGTACTTTTATATGTTTAAATGTATTTTCAGGAATGCCTCTACTTGCAGGTTGGATGTGAACGTATTGTCTGCAGGCGTTTAAGCAGATCTTTGCTCTTATTTCGAAAATCTTTTCAGCAAATTTCCATCAATCCAATTAAGATTTTAAGGCTTAAAATAGAACAATGTTGAAGAAAAAGTATGCATTGCAAGCATGCACATTTTTTGTATTTCATTCATATTTTATATTTGGATTTAATACTAAAATGAAGTATTTTTTATTCTGCCAGGAAATATTACATAAAATGTCACTCTTCATATTTTCCTTCTACAGTCTGTGGGATCTCTGTTTTGTAGGTTTTTTAAATGGTCCTCATGCAGATAAAATGAACCTGCCCCAGCCTCTGGAGCATGAAATGCTGCGATGGCTCAGTTGATGTTTTCTGTTTTGCAAAATTTATAGTGTTTTCCATCATGGGCTCTCAGCTCTCTGTGATAAAAGCATCCAATATTCACTCAGTGCCATCCTGCAAGCTGTCTCACGTCTTCTCCTCAGCTGCAGCCTTCTTTAAGGATGAATACATGTGGAGCTTGAATCCTGTCTTTTCTTCTATTCGCTCAGTCTGGATCCATAATGCTTAAACAGATTGTTGAAGAAAACTGTCATACATTTTTTTACAAATCTTTTAGAAGGTTTTCTGCATTTATACTCTGTGTTTCCTGATATTGACCATTTTAACATTTACATGCAATCTTCCAAAAGCCCAAAGAACTGAAAACACTATTAGAAGTCCAAGTTTCAAACCAGTCGTGCAAAATAAAAAGATAATGGGTCTCATCTATAAAGTAATAAACCATCACATTTCCTCTCATTTTTGTTTTATACCCTGAATTCATTGAAATGTCTTCAGTGCCAATCTTTTTTTTGCCTCAACTAAAAAGTGAGATAACATATAAAAGAAAATACGTCACATTGACATAGCTTCAATAATTGGACCCAAACAAAAGTAATTTGATTGAGTTATTGATTTATCCAGCTTCCAGCCTAAAGGGTAAACTTAAAGGGGTCCTGTTATGCGTTTTGGGGTTGTCCCTTTCCTTATGTGTGATATGTAGGTTTCTGTGCATGTAAATGGTCTGCAAAGGCTAAAATCCCAGCTTCTCTCCCACACACTCTCCCCCCCCCGCCTGAAACACCTCTGTTGGACTCCATTGTGTACTTCTGTAACATGGTGACATCACTACGTAACACTCACGCTTCTTTTGGCCACACATTGGGTGTTTCTCAATGTCGAGGACGCTTGCTTGGTAGCACATGTCTTCTGAGTCACTTGCTTCAGAAGCGAGGCAAGAATCCTTCCTAGCCTCGGAAAACGAAGAATGGTGGACCAGGCTAACAGGTGTGCAGGTGTGCGTCATATGCGAGGCCCCGCCTTAAATGGAGTGCGATTCCCGCCAAAGATTTGGAAATTGGTCCGTGCGCAAAGCATTGTGGGGATTTTAAGACCGCGGAGTCTACACATGGGCAGCCTCGAAATTTCCCGCTACGAAGTACGCCGGCCTCGGTAGAATTCCAAGTATGCTGGACATTGGAACAGTCCTTCGGCGGGACTCGATGACGTAGCATGCTTGAAATAGTGGCTCTGGAGCAGCTTTCCTCGACATTGAGAAACACCCATTGTCTGGATAGGCTAAGGGGCGGGACATCTCTAAGCGGTTGACCAATCACAACAGAGCCACTCAGATAACCAATCAGAGCAGACTGGGCTCTGGTTTCAGACAGAGGGTGAAAAGAGGTGCTGCAGCACAGGCAGAAGGAGAACAATAAAGAGCTTGTTGAACATTAAAGCATGGAAACATGTCACAGAAGAGGCACGGAAATACAAATGTGAATGTATCTAGTAATGTCGTTTGCAATAGTCGTTTGACCATTTGTAGATTTCATGTTTAAAAAAAACAAACACTAGCTGATATTCTGATGAGATGCTAATCAGTCTTTCTGCCCTCAGGTGTCAAAGGTAGAGGGAGTGGCCCGGTGCTGTCAGTCCGTCTGTCGGTCATCATCATGACATCAGAGGCCCGCTCGTCCCATTGGCTCTGCTGGCTCACCTCACCTTCCAGGTACCGAACATGCCTTCAGCTGATCTGGGTGCTGCTGGTGGGGTTCAGCCCGGGTTCGTGGGCCCAGCAGGGCAACCAGCCCGGGTCCATCAAAATCGAGGGCGACATCAAATTGGGCGGGCTGTTCCCCATGCACTCTCGGGGCCCTGCTGGTGTGCCCTGCGGGGAGATCAAGAGAGAGAAGGGGATCCACAGATTGGAGGCCATGCTGTACGCCTTGGACCAGATCAACAGCGACCCGGACCTCCTGCCTAACATCACTCTGGGGGCCCGGATCCTGGACACCTGCTCCAGAGACACCTACGCCCTGGAGCAGTCGCTCACCTTCGTCCAGGCCCTCATCCAGAAGGACAACTCAGACGTGCGATGTTCTAACGGGGAGCCGCCCATCATCCCCAAACCGGAGAGGGTGGTCGGGGTGATCGGGGCGTCGGGCAGCTCCGTGTCCATCATGGTGGCCAACGTGCTCAGACTGTTTGCGGTGAGTTTTCTTTCTCCTCTTCTCCATTAAAAAGCGGACAGTTGTTCTTTCATCCCCTTTGAATGGTATCAGCTGATTGAATGGGTGTTATCAGCCCCATAGTGATGGGTTAGAAGCGGCTGCTACAGTCACTAGTACGTTCAGAAGGCCTTGATTATCTATTCAAATACTTGATCACTGTTATGATTGAAGTTAAGCTCTAACCTGTAGTGGTCGCAGTTATTCTCACGGGTGCAAAGAAGGAAGTCAGGGTTAGGGTTAGGGTTAGGGTTAAACAATTAACATACTAATTAGGACCAGGATGCTTTCTTAACCCAGTGTTGGAAGAAGTACTCAGATCCTTTACTTAAAGGTGGGGTAGGTAAGTTTGAGAAACCGGCTCGAGATACACTTTTTGTTATATTCCATGGAATGCTCTTAACATCCCGATAGCAATGAATATCTTAAGTGCTTTGACAAAAAATCCATAATAAAATGTCATCTGTGGAAGCCGTGGCGCTGTACAAAGCATGACCAATCATCTGAGCCGGCCCGGCTAAAATAACTGGATGGCCTACCTGCCTGTCAGCCTTCCATCTGTGCACAAACTTATCTCGTGCCCTCATTGTTCGTGTGTGTTGGAGGAGGGGCTCTGTAAGGAAGTGGCATATTTTTTCCGGCTGTGTATTTTCAAATTCTAGCGCACTCGAGCTGGTTTCTCCAAAATGACATACCCCACCTTTAAGTAAAAGTACAAATACTATGGTTTTAAAATACTCCATTACAAGTACAATTTTAACTTACAAATGAAAACAATTTTTTTTTATGATTAAGTAGTATAGTACAAAATGATCAGCATCAAAGTTGACTTAAAGTACAAAAAGTAAAAGTACTCATTCTGCACAATGAGCCATTTCAATAAAAATATAAAGTATGCAAGAATGATCAGCTACATTTCCTTCAAGAACCAAAAGTATATTGGATCTTTTCACAGCATTATTTTATCATATATGAACTTTATCCAGTTTTCATACATGTTAGAGATTTTTAGTAATGTAGTTGGTCAATGTGGACCAAAATGTCAAAAAAGAACTATACTTAAATGTACTTAGTTACCTGTCACCACTGCCTTTTAAACCACAATGTTAACCACGTATTTATGACTTGTTGGTGCAGGTCGGTGCAGTTTGCTCTGGTTCAGCTTCAGAGTGGTCGTGATAACCACTGAGGGACATTTATTGGGCAGATAATATTCAACGTGGTGGCCTTTTTTCAGTATGTGAGGTCAAAGGGTGAATCCAGGTGAAAGCCTTTATCCCTCACTGTCGTCTCTTTTTAATCTATTCATAGGGAGAAAATAAAAGGACATGAGTTAAAGTACTGGTTCCCGACCTGAGGGCCTCAACAGTCTCATGACGCTCAATCTTTGTGGTTGGGCATTCGTACGAAAAGAGACAGAAAATAAGAAATTGAGTTTTCAAAAGACATGCAATGAGTCAGACGAGGACACTTGGCCCAAATAGATTTCAATGCGTCACAAGCCAAACAATTGGGAGTTAAACTAGGAAAGAGTGTGCCAAAAAAGTGAGCAACTATCAGAAATACATAGCTTATATTTAGTTCATTTAGTTTTGAACATCTCACTAATATCATTCACAGAAAGAGTCCTTCTCGTGAGACTGAACTCACAAACACACACATTTTGCTTTTGGCTCTCAACTAGCTGATGATACTATTTAATGAACTCAATTCTTCATGCTTGTGCTGTTAAATTAGCCCATCGCTGATCTAGTAAAGATGTACAGGAGCACAGTCTCATTCATTTAATCATTTTATCCACTTGGATGATGAATGGGGGCATCATTAAATGTGGTCTTCATTTTGCAGCATGAACACGGTGAGTTTTAATTGGGATTCGCTTATGGACTTTACGAACCTAATTAAGAGTTCGACTCACATTTAATAACATCATCTGCTCACCATTTTCTTTGGATATTCTGATTGGTTATACTGCACATATTCTCCTCACTGATGTATAGATACAATACATACTTCACGGGAGACAATGTAAAGTGAGGAATCATTGGAATGAGTCGCTATACACTTCATTGGATTTTAAATCCTTTGTCATGTGTGGCCTCCACAGGATAATCCATGTTATGTGTTCATTGTAGTTTTTTTTCTCCATGTACAGATGATTGACCTTAGATAATTGATTACAGTACTTATAGCGATCATGGGTCATGACTAAAAGGCCTTAGGCTTATTACAGCCGTATCCTATTGATTGATTGATGGGACATTGAATCTCTGTAAGTCCCACTTTATGACGTGCTGTATAAAAAAGTCTGGAAAAAATAAACTAGTGTTGGGGTTTAAATTGGCCAAATGTGGTTAACGTGAAAGAAAAAAAGTGCAATCAGGTATCTCGTTGCGGTGTTTCTTCAGAGTGAGGATATTGGTTTGAGAGATGCTTGCATACAGGGCAGATGTTAACTACAGAATTATAGATCCCACCCTCCACTAAGCCCCTCTCAGCAGCTCAGGACCCCGGGCTGAAAATAGAGCATCAGGGCAGCGCCATGGCTTTGGTTCTCGAATAACTTGTAGCCTGGACAGGGGCGCAGATTTATCTAAATGGTATGTTTCCTGCTACTGTCCATATGTGCTGCTCTCCGCTCTGCAGATTCTTCTGATGCTCACTTTACGTTGAACATCTGCTCACTGCCAGAGTTTGAGCATGCTTCAGCCTCTACTACACATGCTGTTTTAGCCTGCCTATAAGTACAAACTATAAAGTATGTGTAGGAGATATTAAATAATACAATGTGTACTTTTATCAACTGCTAAGCTTGTTAAATAACCGGCTATACAGTAGATCCAACAGTTAATTCACTCTCTTTTTATTATTTATTATTATTAATGATTATCCCAGCAGTTTGATTTTGAGGATTTGATGCTTCTCTTTCTTTTGCATCACTGTACATTTTAATATATTTCAATATAAGCAATTAAAAAATGTAGAAATAATATTTTTCACCATTATTTTCACTAATATTTGAACTTTTTGACATTTTATGTACTAAACAATCTATTAAGATAATATAACAGTTGTTTAAATATCATCCAATGTTTTTTTAAAAACACTTAATCTCAATTAGACCTGCACAATAAACATCTGCTCTCATCCAGAGCAGGGCATGTTTCAGCCTCAAACACACATGCTGTTTAAGGTGAGTATTTGTGAGGCTGTGGCGCAGTGTATTAGTGCGTTAGGGTTCGGATCAGGAGAGCACAGGTTCAAACCCCACTGCAGTCAGCATGTCGTTGTGTCCCTGGGCAAGACACTTCACCCCAAATTGCTCCTGTGGGGATTGCCCACAGTATTGCGTATGTAAGTCGCTTTGGATAAAAGCAAGTGACATGTAATGTATTTGAAAAAAGTCAAAACTGTACAGCATGTGAAGCAGATATTCAATCAAATAATGTTGACTTTATATCAACAGTTAAGCTTGTTAAATAACGGGTTTTTCAGTTTATCCAATAGTGAATTCACCATTTGGGATGCTTTAGTTGCTAAGCAGATTGTTGATTATTAATATTGATGATTATTCCAGAAGTTTAATTTTGAGGATTTGTATGCTTTTTCTTCTTTAACATTAATGTACATTTTAACATTTTTCAACCAAAGCAATTCAAATAATTCGGTATTAGCAATTTAATCCTTTTTCCAAATTACTATTTGACGTTTTAGAAATTGTATATACCAAACAATTATCAAATATATTAACATATTCTAACATAATATGATTTTTTATGTTGCCATTTATTAAATATGATCTGATATGTTAACACTTAATCTATATTAAGGCTTTCACCAAATGAGAAACATATCTGATTATGTTGTTAAGATCAGGATGAAGACATTACTTGTGTACTCATTTCTCACACTGATGTTTTCAGAGGTACTAAAATACAGCTATTTGCTTTTATATAAAAATGAAAGGAAAGAATTTCCAGAATTCTTTTTTGAGCATTGAACTGAACACAAAGGGCACCAATTAAAAAAGGTGACTTCAATGCTAAACCGCAGTCCTTGGCAATGCACTTAGTTGACATTGCGATGTGAAAAATGTGAGCCTTACACTGAATCATCAGTCAGTACAGGAAACCTGTGCAGTTAAAATCATTTTCTGAAAGCGTCTGCTGCAAATTGAGAAAGAAAACCATTGATTGAAAACTATTACCCTAAACCTTTGACACATTAAAAATGCATACCTGTCATAACATCTTTATCTAGTACCAGCACTCGTTTCTGTTTGGTAAAGTTTAATACAAACCATTAAGTGCTAAACCACCGTCATATTTCCTTGGCTGGGATCCTGGAATATCTTGGACGGTTCCCATCCTTCTCTGATAGTGAGGAAGATTTCAGCAGCACTTCATTGTAAATGCATCCCTGTGTAACTGATACGGCTCATTGATTTTAGAAAGTTAATTGGTGCAGATGCTTCTACGGGATTAATTTGGAGGGGATTACGTTTCCTCTTGTTCGTGGCTAATGTGTGCGCAAGGAAATATCCTCCGGACACTTAAAGAACTGTAAAAGTTGAAGTCGTGATGGAAGAATGTTTTTTTTGTTCTGTAAAGCTCACACCTTTATGAAGTCATGGTCAGCGAAGTGGAGGATGACTAGTAAGATTCAACTGAGCAGGGTTAACACGTGTGGCCATCAGAATTACATATATTGTATGGCTTACAGCTGAGAAATGCTAACCTTTTCCTACTCTCTTGATCTCTGTCTCTCCCTCTGTGCTTAACGTAATTTGACTAAAACCCCGATAATCCTTCCAGATAATCTGTGAAATGGTTCTCTCGCTCCTCTCTCCTTCTCCCTTCACTAACCCTTGTGTCTACCTTTATCTCCTCACCCCATCCGGAGTGCCCGCTACGTTAAGCCACGCTGGGAGGACCGGCATTAGCGGGGTCAGGGTGGAGACTGTCGACATAAACTGTGTCATTAAAGAAGTAGCACACCAGTAAATTAATCTTCTCATCCTTTTTTTCTCCAAACAAATGCTTTTACAGCTGTGGGTCCCACCATCTGTATTCACTATGACGTTATTTATATGCTCAGCTCAGCACATGATCCACCAGATCTGAAGTTGCTTCAGTTCTGAGATTTACACAAGCTTTTCAAGCAAAGCGCTCTCGATGAAAGTCACATTTTGGGGTTTTAATGCACTGCAACTCATTAGTTCTAATACAGAAAGTCTGCATGTAGACACAGTGAAGGTTTTGTCTGTGAGTAAGTGGTGCATCATCCTCCAATACGGTTCACTGCCTCTTCTAGTCATTCCTTTTTATCTTTGGTTCCACATATTGGCCTAATTGTGCTGCTCATGTTTTCCCGTTGACCGAGCTCTTTCGTCATCTCTGACCCTCTCGTGTGTCTCAGATTCCCCAGATCAGCTACGCCTCCACGGCCCCCGAGCTGAGCGACAAAAGCCGCTACGAGTTCTTCTCCCGTGTGGTGCCTCCGGACTCCTACCAGGCCCAGGCCATGTTGGACATAGTCAAAGCCATGGGCTGGAACTACGTCTCCACGCTGGCCTCGGAGGGAAACTACGGAGAGAGCGGCGTCGACGCCTTCCTCCAAATATCCAGAGAAGCAGGTCTGCCTCTATGAACTTGAATTCACTGCTGGGACAATGAGGGATTAATGATTCATCAAGCCGCGCTGTTCTCACTCATTAAAAGACTATAATAGGAAACAAAAATCCTTTAATACACAACAACTACCAGGGCAAAGAGAAGTCACCGCCTCATATGGGTTTAAAAGCTCAAATGAGGGTTCGGATTTCACATCATTTAAGGATCATACACATACATCAATAATTGACAATGCTGGACAGGTCATCACTTTGTCAACATGTTGACCGCGATCAGTCCACCAATCTGGTTCAGTGTCAAATATCTCAAACACGGATGGATGGATTACCTTTTGTTTTTCTTCTACCGACATTCATGGTCCCCAGAGGATAAATGTAAATGACTCTAGAGATCACCTTACCTTTCTCCTAGTGCCACCATGGGGTTTACATTTGTGGTTTCTGAGTAAAATGCCTTAATCAAAATTGAAAATAATAATATGGTACAGACATTGGTTTATGTTGTAACTCATTGTTGATAATATACTACTAGTAGACATCGTTGTTTGTCAGCAGGTTACACAAAAACTACGGGCCTGATTTTAATCAATCTTGGTGGAATGGTGTAGCATATATAAACCAATGACAAACCCATTCAACTTTGGAATAAGTCATGGGAACGATACACAAAGTAAGGTCATGGCCTCAAAGGAGGTCTTAACTCTTCGATTGGCCGTATAGTTTAGGCGGTTTTCTATTTTTGAACACTCAAGTCAAATGCTCTTTATATAAAAGCTTTCATACTAAGAGTCTACAATCATGCTAGCAGCCCTTTGAGGCTATGTCTTTGAGCTAAAGGCTACTGCAGCAGGCCAACATGCACACAAAGTATTAGACTACTTTTCAATCAAGAAGCTTTATCCCTAAACCGCCTCTGATATGAGGTTTACCTAGTTAACTTTTAGTTTACCGTGGTAGCATGCTAACAATTGCTAATAAGGCTGATGGAGAGGTTAACATGAAAATCAAAATTAATCTCCAGATGCTGTATCATCCTTTTTGTAATATAAAATGTAGGCCTATTTTTCAAGGTTACTGATAATTACTAGGCGAATTAGGCTGTAATTATTTTTCTTGTGCAGTAAATGGAGGAAACAGAGAAGTATAGAAATGCCAACACATTTCCCATCTCTCTCCCACAGGGGGGATCTGTATTGCACAGTCCATAAAGATTCCCAGAGAGCCCAGACCGGGCGAGTTCGAGAAGATCATCAAGAGACTGATGGAGACCTCCAACGCTCGCGGGGTCATCATCTTCGCCAGCGAGGACGACATCAAGTGAGTCAAGCTCTGCTGCACGTCATATTTATTTACTTAAGTACAAGATCAGAGTACTTCTCCTATACCTGTTTAGTTTTAAAACACAGAGCATAAAGAAAAACATGTATGATGAAGTGTTATTCATTCTCTTTCAGACGGGTGCTGCAGACGGCCAAATCGGCCAACCTGACGGGCCACTTCCTGTTTGTTGGCTCCGACAGTTGGGGAGCCAAAAGTTCCCCGATCCAGGACCAGGAGGATGTGGCCGAGGGCGCTGTGACCATCCTCCCAAAGAGAGCCTCTATCGATGGTAGGGAAAACCAACTGGATGCAACAGGAATATTAGAAATAGCCTGCGTCACTTGACATTGATGGATGAGTCTCATACCAATGCTACATATAAAGGAAATTAATGATGTTGGATATGTCTGTGGTCCCTGTAGCTTAAAATAAGGAAATGAAGTCAAAGCCATATTTCACTGTTCAAAAAGATTTGATTTGCTTCGCTGATTTCAACACATTATGATGATTGGTATACTGATATTAATCTTAGCGCTGTGGTTTCAATCAATCTTTATTTGAATAGCAATTTCTTACAAGTTAGTGTAGTTCAAATTGTAGTTGAGAAACTATAGAAAAGATAAAAACATTTCAACAACTTGAGAGCAATGCATGTGAGATAATAACAATTATAAAAACCTAGTAAAACTGATTCAAAAGTTATTATATGAGTACGACTAGCAAACAAGTTTTAAAAATAACAATAACACGATACCACAACTTAAATACAAAAGGTAAGTGAAAGTACAATAATGATACCTATTGTTTTAACCACTCTTTACCGAAAGCCTGGCTGAATAGATTTATGTTCTAAGATTGAATTGTCATGATATTAAATCTGCTTTGTGAAATCTTTCAGGGTTCGACCAGTACTTCACTTCAAGATCGCTAGAAAACAACCGAAGAAACATCTGGTTTGCAGAGTTCTGGGAGGACGACTTCAAGTGCAAGCTGACCCGCCCCGGCATAAAGTATGAACTTGGTAGAAGGAAATGTACAGGTAAGCAGGATGCAGTTTCAAGTACAGGTTGAAAATGACCAGAGATGGAAGAAGATTTCTCAGATGCTAAAAAGTACACACGTTATTGGCAAAATACTAGTCCTGTATTCAAAATCTGACATAAGCAAAAGAACAGAAGTATAATCAGCAAAAGTACAAAAAGTAAAAGTAATCATAGCGCAGAAAAATGGCCTTCATGTGTGTATATAACTATATTTATATATGTGACATTTCTAGATAATATTTTTGCATCAGGTAGCACAGTTTACTGTTATAGCCTAACAAAGTTCTGATTGACGTTTTGTGATTTATTTATAATAATTTGACTTAAAGAGTTTGTCCACTAGTTTAATTGTTAGAGATACATTTTGTTACAAGGATCAAAAGATGTTTAATAAATGTAGTGGAGTAGAAGTATAAAGTATTATTCCCATTAACTGTGGTCTCAACACCTAATATGTTACCTATGTCACTTATGGCTCATTTCCACTACAGCGCGGAGCGCGGTTTAAGCGTTTTTGGTTTTGGTTGCGTTTCCACTAGGCGTAGTTCTGGCTAGCGGGTACTTTTTCACAGTTTTCTGGCTCCCCAAAATCCAGGTTCTTTCCGGGCCAACAACCAGGCTGAGTCGGGCTGAGTATGCTAAACTAGAGACAGAATCGCTGGCAACTACAACAAAATGAACATATTTGACCGTGATTTAATTGTAATACGCGTTTCAAAATGATGCCGAAGTAACAACATACTGATACCGGTTAGTAAAAACCATGAATTAATGCTTTGTCAAGTCTGCAGACAGACGGCAGGCGAAAAACCTTTTAAAATGCGTGTTTTCTAAATGGTGATCGGCTAAGCTAACGTTGTATATGCTCCGACCGTCCACACTCACAACAACGGCCTATACAGACATAAATAAAGCAGCGACTGTATTCGCCATGACACAGACAGTCTGTGGTTTGTACTTGTTTAACTTTTGTCTAGTTTCTGAACATATATGAGGAGCTGTGAGCTCTGAGTGCTGAGTTGGTTTTGTGTTTCGCATTGAAGATGACGTCACGGCTCCGCCTACACTGCGTTACTATAGTTACTGCCCCAGCTACTAAACTGTAATGGAAACGCAGCATAAAGTGAGCCTGGCCTACTAAGGCCTAATTATACCGTACTAAGCGAGGCCCTGCAGTGGAAATGCGCCATTAGTTCTTTAAATGACTGCTCCTCATTATTAGCCATGGATGTGTACTTATTTGTCTTTATTCTTATTCTAGTATAACTAAACTGTGCTTTCTTCTCTATATTTAACAAGTTAGCTTAGTCTGATTATTGCATGTCTTTTTTACCTGCTATGCCACTTTGTTCTGTAACACTGTTATGTTCCTGCTCTGGGACAAACAAAGGAATTGTGATATTAAATAAGTGGGAGTACTCCAGGAAAGTGCAAGTAACTCAAAATTGAAATTAAGAACAGTACTTGAGTAAATGAAGCTCAGCGCAAGTTCTTTCAGGAAGACTGGGTATATATACATTCACTCCGCAGCTGCATATAATCAGCTCATCACGGGCGTTGTCTATAACCTATTACATTCACCTCATTCTCCAGCAGCCAATCACTGTGCTGCAGCCAAACTTTAAAATGGTTCTCCTCTCTCCTGCAGTCAGCTGTGATTTTCACCTCCTTTCATCTTATCCAGTGCCAGGAGAGTTAATCCAAAGACCTCATCACACCTCCTCTTCATCCCATCTCCTCATCAAATCCAGATCTTCAGCATCATCACCAGTGTCTAGACCCCGGGGGAGGTTCCCTATATGCTCACGGCTGCATTTCCCCCTTTAGATATACGATTTCAGGATCGGGGTCTAATCGCCAAAGACTTAACATTTATCATATGACATGTGTCAATAAATGTTCTTTAAACAAAATGGAGTCTCTCCTGATTGAAATGCACTTAGTTACTTCCCACCTCTGAAAATGACATTTTAAATGTGTCCAAGCTCTGCGTTTGTGAGCAGTTTTGTTATTTTCCTAATTTCTTGCTGTCACTTTGTCAGGTGAGGAGAGAATTGCTCAGCACTCTCAGTACGAACAGGAGGGCAAGGTGCAGTTTGTGATTGACGCGGTGTACGCCATGGCCCACGCCTTACACAGCATGCACATGGACCTGTGCCCCGGATACATGGGCGTCTGCGACAAGATGGACCCTGTGGAGGGACGGGATCTGCTCCATTACATCCGTGCTGTCAACTTCAATGGTGGGGTTTTGACTTCTTCTTATATTATACTTCTTCTTCTACTTCTTCTTCTTCTTATTATAATTTCTGGCTGGCAGAGAACTCACTGTCTCATGAACAATTTGCACATACTGTACTTTACTTACATATTGCAGCCTAGTTACACTACCTCACAGGATAGATTTGACTCTTAATTTCAAGCTACTGCACACAATTTATTAATGCATACAGTACACTGTGTTTATATGTTTACTAGATTAGTATATAAGAGAGTATTATATTTATTCTGTATACTTTATAATGTTAAGTTATGCCTATCTATCTATCCATCCATCTATCTATCTATCTATCTATCTATCTATCTATCTATCTATCTATCTATCTATCTATCTATCTATCTATCTATCCATCCATCCATCCATCCATCCATCCATCCATCCATCCATCCATCCATCCATCCATCCATCTATCTATCTATCTATCTATCTATCTATCTATCTATCTATCTATCTATCTATCTATCTATCTATCTATCTATCTATCTATCTATCTATCTATCTATCTATCTATTCTCTATCTCTCTATCTCTCTCTCCTGCTCTCTCTCCTCTACTCGTCTCTCTCTTCTCTCTCTCTTCTCTTCTCTCTCTCTCTCATCTCCTACCTCCTCTCTCTCTCTCATCTCTCGTCGTCCTCTCTCTCTCTCTCTCTCAATCATCTCGTCTCTCTCATACGCTCATCTCTCTCCTCTCTCATCGTCTCTCCTCTCATTCTCTCTCTCTCTCTCGATCTAATCTTATCTATCTATCTATCTATCATGACATCAGACACATTATCTTTTGCTAGCATTGGACTGTCCTATGTTGTGACATAAAATGTGTTATCTTTTCCATTGAACACACACGACAGCCTATTCTTTACCCGTCCTGGTCCGTCCTGAGAGAGGGATCCTCCTCTGGCGGCTCTCCCTGAGGTTTCTTCCACTTTTTACCCCATTAACTTGGATGTTCCTTTGGGAGTTTTTCCTTGTCCGATGCGAGGAGTCTAAGGAGAGAGGGGGTTGTATTCTGTATAAGCTGTAAAGCCCCCGAGACAAAGGCAAAATGTGTGATATTGAGCAATATATACACTTTGATTGACTGATTGACTTTTAACCTTTCATTTTTGTTCTCCTTTCCTATGCAAAGTCTGATTCCACATAGTTTTATCCATATTTATCAAATCAAAAGCTAGATTTGAGATGTATTCTGGTGAAACCGTTGATTTCCACTGCTTCTGTCGCAGCACAAGGACTGAAAAGAAACACATTTAAAAAGAAAACAGTGTAAGGGAGGTCAGCTTGAAGTAGGAAGCCTTGAGATGCTTCTGCTAATGTACCTATCCACAGCGCATTTCTTCAAAGCACGTCCTCTCCCCAGGGCTGCCTCCTTGCTCTTCCCTATACACACCGCTCAAGCTTTTCATTCTCGTCTTTCATAAAAAAGTCACAGTTTGGAAGAAGAGAGAAGAAAAAGGGTGTTCTATGAAAGCATCCTATTTACCGCTTGCTGCATGACCTTGGCTTGTATGAAAGATTTTCTGATTGAGCGCCTGCAGGGACCTGAGAGGAACATTCAATCACGTTAGGGCAACAGAGCAGAGTGCACTGAAAGACTGTACGCGTGGACGAGAGCCTTCAGTAAAGAGCCTCCTGCACTCAGCTTCCACATGACTGCACAACACTGAAGGAAGCAAACACAAGATGTATTCAACAGCATGTAAGATGGGGGTGCATGTCTCCTGCTCAGAAAGCTTGAGTTTCTCCTCTCTCCTCTCCTTTGACTCACATCTTCGCTTTTTTGGGTCATGAAAACCAGAGGTGGGCGAAGTACTCAGATCGTGCACTGAAGTAATAGAAGTACCAGAGAGTAGGAATACTCTGTTACAAATTAAAATCACGCATTAAAAATGTAGCTACTACAAAAGTATTAGCAGCAAAATATACCTAAAAGTAAAAGCAGTATGTAAAAGTATGCAAATTGTTCAATTTAAGAAAAATAGCTAGTTTTAGTTTTTTTGTGAATGTTACTCCAGGTGTAACCAAAGTCTTATTTGAATATAATTCAAATCATTCATCAAAAGTTATAACGTAGGAATAAATAAATGTAGTGGAGTAAAATTACACGATTTAGCTCTGAATTGTAGAGGGGTTGAAGTACAAAGTAGCACACTTAAGTACAGTACTTGAGTAAATGTACTGATATACTTTACACCACTGATAAAAACTCTATCTCCTTCCAACAGGCAGCGCAGGAACTGGAGTCATGTTCAATGAAAATGGAGACGCTCCTGGTCGCTACGACATCTTCCAATACCAGCTGTCTAATGTCAGCAACCCCGGCTACAAGGTCATCGGCCAGTGGACAAACCACCTTCGCCTCAATGTAAATATGTTTTGTCCCAAATAAGGAACAATTTCTACATTTAGATGAAGATTAAAACCATTCTCCTCTCTGTTTGCGAACAATGTGACTAGAACTTGCAGCTAGTTAGCTTAGCATAAAGATGGAAGATTAAGGAAAAAAACGAGTCTGTCTCTGCCCCAAAGTTAACAGAATCTGCCTTCCAGCACCTCTAAAGCTAGCTAACTAACACATTATATCTTGTTTATTTAATCCATGCTGTAGGTAAACCAGTGTTAAAACATCACGTTTTGGCTTTACAGTGGGTTTTGCGCCAGACTGTTTCCTGGCTCGGTGCAGTAACTTCCGGAAATTAGCAAAACTCAGGCTAGCAGTTTCCTTGTTTGCCTTTATGCTAAATAGAGAGGCGAAGTCTCATCTACTTCCGACCCATGGGACCTTATTTCGGAAAGATTATGTACTGAAGTCAATGGGGAGAAAGATTATATTTATTATTATTTATGATTATATTTCGATCCCGTTTGAATTGTGCCACGAATTACACATATGTTTGTCAATCTTAACAAATAATTTCCATGTCAAAAAAGTCACAGTTTGTCGTAAAACTGTTGAAATATAAGACTATGAAAAATACGCAACTAGAAAGACTACAAATCCCAGAATCCCGGTCCCGCATGCTGGCTCTTAGGAACCGACTAACTCCCCTTGTGTGTATGTACAGCTCTCAACATGCCCAGACTTGGAGTGATTTTCACCTCTTTTAATACTTTCCGCCTCATTCTGAAAGAAAGAAGTGAAATGTGCCAACGTGACGGCCGTCTTGGTGTGTGGTGCGAGACGGGAGATGTAGTTCATTGAGCGGTTTCACACCAAAGAAAGTGTTACTTCGCAGTTTTACGACACATTTTTTTTTTTTTGACTTGCAAAATGATCTTTTAAATTGACAAACATCATATGTGTAATTCGTGGCACAATTCAAACGGGATCGAAAGATAATCTTTCTCTCGCCATTGACTTCAATACATACTTTCTCCGAAATAAGGTCCCATGGAGGTCCCCCGGAAAGGGAGGGACTTCACCTCTCTATGAAGCTAATCAGCTGTTTGCTTTAGTTACATAGTTAGTGACTCTTAGATAGTCCAACCACAACATGGTGCTCACTATAAATGTAGCCGTCTTAGTTTTATCCACCTACAATACAAAAACTTGTATTCAAAAGGAAACAAATGCATCTTCAACAAACAAAAGAACGAATGGAAGCATTACTTCTATGAAACCACAACCGATCTACAGAACTTTGGCCAGAAAATCAGTCGAGGGTGGTCAAATTGTCGCTATCAATTGGGCTTTATCTGAACAGTATCTTCCTGGTTATTAGATTATTACAAAGTCTTTGCCCATTCTTTCTATATTTCAAGTATACTGAAACAAAGTCTGTGTGTTTGTGCATCCAACCTAGCCGGAGGAGATGCAGTGGTCAGGTGGTGACCGCAAGGTTCCCGAGTCGGTGTGCAGTTTCCCCTGCGAGTCTGGAGAGAGGAAGAAGATGGTGAAGGGCGTTCCCTGCTGCTGGCACTGCGAGTTCTGCGACGGCTACCAGTACCTGCTGGACGAGTTCTCCTGCGACATGTGCCCCTTCAACATGAGGCCCTTTAAGAACCGCACAGGCTGCCGGGAAACGCCCATCATAAAGCTGGAGTGGAGCTCTCCGTGGGCCATCATCCCCGTGTTCCTCGCCATCTTGGGCATCCTCGCCACCAGCGGAGTCATCGTCACCTTCATCCGCTTCAACGACACGCCCATCGTTCGGGCCTCCGGCAGAGAGCTCAGCTACGTGTTGCTGACGGGCATCTTCCTCATCTACCTCATCACCTTCTTCATGATAGCCGAACCCAGCACAGGCGTGTGTGCGCTTCGCCGGCTGCTGCTGGGGCTCGGCATGTGCATCAGCTACTCCGCCATGCTCACCAAGACCAACCGTATCTACCGTATCTTCGAGCAGGGCAAGGTTGCCGTCTCGCCCCCGAAATTCATCAGCCCCGGCTCTCAGCTGATTATCACCTTTATACTCATCGGAGTGCAGGTATGTGGATGCTTCTTTCACGCGTCATGTAGATTCTCTGTAGCACTAACTAATGCTTAAACCGTTCCCTGCAGTTACTCGGGGTGTTCGTCTGGTTTGGTGTGTCACCGCCTCACACCATCATCGACTACGAGGAGCAGAAGCCCCCAAACCCAGAGTTCGCCCGTGGAGTTCTCAAGTGCGACATGGGCGACCTTTCCCTCATCCTCTGTCTGAGCTACAGTTTCGTACTGATGATCACCTGCACCGTGTACGCCATCAAGAGCAGAGGAGTTCCTGAGAACTTCAACGAGGCCAAACCCATCGGCTTCACCATGTACACCACCTGCATCGTCTGGCTGGCCTTCGTCCCGATCTTCTTTGGCACAGCGCAGTCTACAGAGAAGGTGAGTCACTTAACATTATTAACGAGGCCCTTTAATGCTTTTTGAGTTTCCATTTCCTGTTGTGTGTTATATAGATTTTTTTTTTAGCACTGACGCTTCTATTGGCTAGCGCTCCAACACCTTGTACGTGTTAGGCTAAGGGGCGGGGCATCTTTGAGCGGTTGACAGTGGATTGTAGCTGCTGCCTTGTGGGCCAATCCCACGTCACATGGCTGCGGGCAAAACCAACAAATCATTTGACTGGAGAAGTTTCTACTTGGTACTCAGTAATTACGGTCGATACCTAGGTATGTTAATAAAAACACACTCATCTCTAAAAACTTTTGCTAGATATTTTTAGTATATTCTGCTGCAGACACTTTAGTATTTATATACTTTAAATCTTGAATGCAGTCCTTTTAAAAACAACACTTCTATATTGAAAATGTGCTACTTTTACCTAATACATAATACTACTCAAAAAAATCAGTTCTACCTGGCGTCTGGATAAACTCAAAATGTAAATTATTTCTCATTAATTCTTCCTTTTATGTGATTTCCAATGACATCATTATTTTCTTAATAGTATAATCTATTAATTGATCGGTTAATAGCTTGGTTTGTAAAGTTTAGTCCCTAATTAATGACCAAATTAATATTAATTCATTCATTTTCTTACATTCATTTAAGAAAAGAAGAAGGACTTTATGAATCCCTCTTGGGGGAATTACATTTCCCTGAGGATCTCTACTTTGGATTCTTATTGCAGTAGTTTAAATAATTAGGTCAATCAAACACACAATAACACACACTTCAAATAAAAGACTTCATTAATGTCTCCCTTGTCCAACGTGAGATGTGAGTTTTCTGCCTGTCAAATCACATTACCTCTCACAGGACGTCCTGCCTCCACTGTACTCAGAGTTTAATTCAGCTTGTGGGCTATTTCTGCCGTCACAAAGTACGCAGCTGCTGGGGGAATATTTGCTTTGACTAATAGAAGAGCCGTATTATGAATCACTCAGGCTGAAACAATTAAAGCCTGCGGTGCTTTCAAAGTCTTTTCACCTCTTCCGAATGGAAATGAAGGGAATTAAGTAAAAGGGAGGGGGAAAAGAGGTCAGAGCAGCCGAGGGACGGGACCCTCGCAGACCAAATCAGCCATCCCTTTCAATTAATCATTACTTAGAAACAGAGCTAAATATAGACGCTAACTTTTGTCTGGCTCGTGAAAACGGTATATCGCGGCGTCATGTTAAAGAAGACAGTATGTAGAAGGTGAGTTACCTGCTTGCTGTATTTACAAAGGGAACAACTGTTCACTGTTCCTGAGTCAGTCTCGCCTCGGGCAGAAACATGAATACAATCAGCACGGCTACTTTCTCTGAAGGAGAGGTCAGCGATGGAAAGCATGACGAATACGACTAAAGAAAGTGTCCTGTATGGACATCTTCATCCTGTGCGAGTCCAGGATGCTCTGCTGCTGAGGATAGTGTACAATTTATGACTAATTTATGCCACAAATATATCTTATTTATGGCACATATGGCTTCATTTATTTATGACTTGTACAGCCTGAATAATGAGTTCATAATTTATCGGAGGCAGGTCTCAGGAGAAGTTACTTCTCATTATTACTGTTGGATTTTTGCAATAAGAGGAAGAGCAGGAGGGAGAAGATGTGGTCAAAGCCCATAAATAGTGCCTCCTTTCCTGACTTCGTTTCATAAATCATTTAACGGGGAAAAACACTGCCTCCTGCACTCTGAGACGAAGATGTAAAGACTGTATTGTGACAACCTTTGAGGACCTGTGCAAGATGAAATGATCAATTATTTAACTTACACGGAAGGATACTCAGGAAATTAGCAGAAATGAAAAAAGAATTCAGTCACTGTGACCAAAACAGTGTTGTGAGAAAATGATTAAATGTGTTCTTAAACAACCTTTTTTTAACACAACATGTTTCCAATCTGGTTTTTTTTATCCAATTTTCAGGAACAAGGTTGATTTGAGGGAGTTTTCTAATTGCAAATAAAGTCCTCAATCGATTGTGTTAGGCGAATCATCAGAGCTGTGGATTTAAATAATCAATACTGAAAAAGTGACTTAAGGCAAATAAGAAAACAGCAAGAAAAGTAATTATTTTACTGTATCACTTTAATATTTTCACTCTTTTAGTTCTGTTTTATCTTCTATTTTGAGATGTTTGTATTGTATAATTGTTTATTTTAAGAAATGTCCCAATTTGGAATTAATAAAGTATATCTTATCTTATCTTAATGCAGCTTTTTTAACCCTGCAAAGAAAACAAACAAACACAAACCGTTAAGATGATATCTGGTTTTAAATCATAATAGGGATATCATATTGACATCTTGCCCACCCCTACAATGTTGTAGACACAAATAAGAAATGTAGTTACAATTAAAAACAACATCCCTTATTTAAGTGACAGGAATAGGGCAACTTTAGGATAACATATTGTTGTTTACTCTCCAATATAGCATTTCTGTTTGTTGTGTGTATTTCAGTTAAAGTTAAAAGGGCTAAGTAAAAGAAACCTGATATTCAGGCCAGACTGGATTGACTAAAATGTACAATATAATCTTATGACTAAATAAGAGCAAAAACTCAACGGCCTCATTAACTTAAATTATTTAAATGTTTTCTTTGACTATAATAAGACTGAAATGCCTAGTGCAATAACTTGACCAAGAAAAACGGGGATATATAACGGGGCTCAGTTTTATAAAAAAATGGCATACAAATTAAACTTCAGACCACAGGTGTGTGTGTGTCTGCATGTGTGTGTGTGTTTCTGCATGTGTGTGTGTGTGTCTGCATGTGTGTGTGTGTGTCTGCATGTGTGTGTGTGTGTCTGCATGTGTGTGTGTCTGCATGTGTGTGTGTGTCTGCATGTGTGTGTGTGGCCTAGCATTACCATCCTTGTGGGGACCTAAATCTGTTTACAGTCACGTGTGGGGACTCGCCTCCCTAATGGAGGTCCCCATGAGGGGAATCATTAATTTTAGGGTGAAGACTTGGTTAGGGTTAGGCATGTGTTGGTTATGGTTAAGGTTAGGATAAGTCTCCAGGAAATGCATGTAAGTCAATGTAATGTCCCCTGTGTGTGTGTGTGTGTGTGTGTGTGTGTGTGTGTGTGTGTGTGTGTGTGTGTGTGTGTGTGTGTGTGTGTGTGTAGTGACCTTTCTGACCCACGTGTCTCTCTCTCTGCTGCAGATGTTCATCCAGACCACCACCCTGACGGTGTCCATGAGCCTGAGCGCCACCGTATCCCTGGGCATGCTCTACATCCCCAAAGTCTACGTCATCGTCTTCCACCCGGAGCAGAACGTCCAGAAGAGGAAACGCAGCTTCAAAGCAGTCGCCACGGCAGCCACCATGTCCATCAAGTCCTTAGACAAACCCAACGGAGAGTCCAAGATCGTGCCGGACAGATCACAGTAAAAAACATAAGAAAAAACTCCATATTTGTATCACCTCAAGTCACAAGCCCACTCTGACAGCTGATGATAAAGGACTCAGAATATACCTTAGCTTTGGCTTGATTGTTTGTTCTACTTTCCCTTTACTATGGACTGAAATACCAGCAAAGATGTTCCTGGATGTTGTTTCTTTTCACACTCATTTAGATAACTCAGATCTAAATATGGAATAAGGCACAAAAAGGAAACGTTACGGTACACTCAAAGGAGAACTGGAAGGACGTTGATCTGTCCTGAATATGATTTTCAATTTTTTTTAAAGCCACATTCTCATAAACGTCTCAACTTGACAAGGAGATGTGTTAGTTTTAGCTTTCCCTGGGAAATGCCGTTTAGGAAAAATAAGTTTAAATGGCGACCTTTGCCCTACAGGATGCTCATCCACGGTGAGTCCCTTGGGGTCGATGGAGCATTGTTTACGGCTCCAGAAGCACTGCATGGATCGTGTTTTATGTGTACATGAATGTTTTGAAATATTGTCGTGACTATTTCTTCTGATTGCACCGGAAGGAACCGGCTTTTAAAATGTCCCGTTTCTATTTCGGATGATTGAGTCCCATGGGGAGGGCGTAATGAAACACTTTAGTATAATCACCCACAGCGGAACCATTCGACGTCCAATCACAAATACAAAGCGTTTTACTTAATTAGTGTGATGTATGCAATTATTAGAGTACAAGCTGGCTTTTACAGTGGAAACAGGATAGTGATTAGAGCAGGATAGTTATATTTACCTGTACTTTTTACTTCTCCTGCAGTGTCTAACAATGTTTGGCATTTCCCTTTATTGTTTGCCTCAAATATCAAGCCGTGTCCTTGAAGGCAAAATGCCAAAATGATAGACAAGCTACTGTTTTGTTCATGCATGGGAACCTGGTCAGAAAACTTGATTTTGTACCATGAAATGTTCTTATTTCTGCAAACAAAAGTAATTTCACAACAGTCCCTTATTTACCAGGATATGATTTGCAGTGTGTTTTTTGTTACTTTTTCAGAACTCAGGTTTTACTGAAGGTGTTTAAGATGTTGAGGATTTCCTTCTGTAATGGTTTCAGCAGTTAACACAATACATTTACTGTTCTGAGAAAACACCGTCTGTACAGCCCTCTGCAGGAGAAGTACTGTGGCTACAAGCACAGTCAAGAGGGAATTGTTTGTAGACCCCACACAAACCGTAATAAAAAAAAATATTGTTTATTATTCGAGTTGGTTTACATTCGAAAAAACATGTAAAGTAAAAAAAATCTAAGTATATACACATGCTGGTGTTTTAAATACAAATAACTGAAGTCAACAGATGCATTGTGAACAATGTGCTGACATCCCAATGGTTTGCAAATAAGTCAATTTGCCTCGCACACATACAGACACAAAGAAAGAACAAGAAAATCAGGACAAAGTGTCCACATACGTCTCAATCTACACACAAATAACATGTACAGCATTTGTTGATGTGACCAATCAGCATCTGTAGTACAGTGGGAGGTCAGTCACTGCTTTTGAATGAAGTTTGATGAGAGAGTCCTGTTTGGTGCTGGGAGGCAGAACCGCTGCCCAGCTGGTTCTGTGTGCCAGCGGAGAACAAACACGCTTCATCTCACAGCAGCAGCGTTATGATGACCTCCGACCCCACGACCGGGGAAGGAGAGGTCGGCTCTTACTCCAGGAAGCCGTCCAGAGTCAGGCAGGTGGCCATCTTGGGTGGAGGCCTGCACACATTTTTCCTTTTAGCTTTCATCAGCGGGCGAATCTCTGATAAAGGAGACTGGGTGGGAGTGCTTGGTTAAGGAATGATGCCGTTTACAGAGGTCTAATTCCTTTCTGATCATGTCCAACTTTTCCCTTTCCTGTTTAACTTAGTTATGCTCGGCCTGTCCATGTTGAAAATGTGGAAGATAGTTAAATAACATGGCTTGATACCCTGACCGTATCGAAGGAAATGCTTTTCCTTTATTACATTGTCATTACCGACATGTAATGGTCACTGATACTACAACAGGAGGAGTAAGCACAATGTTTAATGAAAGGAAATATCTCTTGCCACAAAAAGATAAATATGAATGCTTTGTTAATATTATTTATGTATGGCTAAGTGTCTCCCAGAACGAGCTTAACAGAACTGCACGGACGTTATTCCAACAGTGACTAAGGGATCGATGATTGGGATAAAAGTTACTAAAACTCAACCACTTTTATTCTTATGAGAAAAATGTTGGCAACAATTGCTTTAGTTTTGTTTTTGACAACTGTAGTCCAAAATGTGAAATCTGGTTTAATCTCCACCATCTCTTTTGGGAACAAATAGCTCTGTTCACTAGCTAGACGCCATCTGTGTCTCTCTGCTAAGCCTAAACCTTTTAAAACAGTAGGTTTACAAGTCTAGACTCAGCAAAGATGAACAGTTCAACAAACATTACAGTATAAATAAGTAAGTAAGTCAACTAAGTAAGTATAAATCAAGAAACACCTGTTGGACACATGTAATCCACAAGGCAGAAAGAAAAGGATACAGGTTGGATGAATTTAGTACGTCCTCCCAAACCATCATATCCACTTCTCATCTGAAACAAGAAACATTTTCTTTCGTTAAAACGAGCATAGGCACAAATTAAACATTTTTAAATGACAACCGTAAGTGCATGAGATGGTTTTGTAGTACGTACAACTCCCGGCTTCCTCTGAGGGTCCAACATGCTGCCGAAAATCTTCTTTCTGAAGAGGAGGGAGTTCTTAAAGAAAGGATCCATGGAAGCATCCTCCTCTCGAGTCTGAGGTAAGAAAAGAGTAATTGTGAGACCTGTGCAACATTTTTTAAATGTACCTCGTTGAGTGGCATTAAAAAAGCTACCTTGCTGTGCGATGAACTATTCACGTTGAGCTTGGACACCGACGACCTGAAAAACAAAGCATTTTTTCACAACACATTAAAAGGTCACCTATTATGCAAAATCCACTTTTTCTGTCTTTTCTACATCAACATGTGTCCCCTCTTCTTCATGTCTCTTCTACATCAACATGTGTCCGCTCTGTGTAAAGAGACTCTGAAAGTTTCAGGAAATAAGATTCTCTCTCTTTTTCTCCTGATCCATTTATATAAAAACCCGTCTGAAAATGAGCTGATCAGAGTTTGGCCACTTTATGATGTCATAACGATGTTTTGGCTTGTGTAACCATTAGCCAATCACCAACCAAGGTAACCCCCCCCCCCACCTTATCACCTGAATCTCCTCCTTGAGCACCATTGAGTTCTTTTTAACCAAATATCTCTCAGAGGGGCGTGGGGAGGGGCTCCTTATTTTCATCTAAAGTAACAGACAGAGAATCAGTACTTTTGAAACAGGGCTGAAACAGAGGGGATTATGGGATGCTGCAATGATCTGTTTGGTGTTTGGAGCCAAACACTTCAGAGACACGTTTTGTATATATCTGAGACCTATAATATATTGATGAAAAACACTATAATAGGGGACCTTTAAGACATTCCTGCTTCATTCCAAATCCACCTATTTCCACAGAAACTCCCACAGTCACCTCAGAGCAGATCAACACAATTAACCAAACTCACGCCGGAAGATCAAGCCGCATCTTCTTGCACTGGAACTGCGGTTTCTTGGCCACATCATTGGGCGTGGTGATGTCATAGGTCATGTTGAGGTCAATGTCCATGCTGTCTGAAGGGCAGTGGAGGCGGGGCTGCTTCAGCTCCATCGGGGCCGGGCTGAAAAGACGGACACCTCATCGGTAAATCACATGAAGTCAAAGCGAGAGGAGAGTTCAGTCTGAGGCTGGGCGACTCACCTCTCAAAGACGAGGCGACTCAGCGCTTCGTTTGTCCGCGTCGGGGTGCTGAGAGTCCTCTGAAGAAACTCCACCTTCTTCTTCAGGCTCTGTGGACGGACATACATGCAGGAATCACCACCAGGACTTTGTTTGGTTTGAAATGTAATGAATAATATTTATTTTGTTGGATTTTCCTTACAGAGATCTCCTTGTCAGCACTGGCCAGATCGTTCTGCAGAGACTTCATGTCCTCGTTTGTCTTATTCACCTCCATGGTGGCCTTTTGTAACTACAAAGAGTTAAACAATCTTTGAATTAGAGTTTACACATTTAAAAAAATGGATTGTGTGTTAACTTACCAACGATGGCTGTACAGAATAGTCTGAATCTTTATTCATAACGTTGACATTCAAATTCAAAATTCACACTTTTTTTTTGCTGACTATTTGTTTTGCTTAAAGGTAGGGTAGGTAAGTTTGAGAAAACGGCTCGAGATACACTTTTTGTTATATTCCATGGAATGCTCTTAACATCCCGATAGCAATGAATATCTTAAGTGCTTTGACAAAAAAATCCATAAAAAAATGTCATCTGTGGAAGCCGTAATACTGTAAAAAGCACGACCAATCATCTGAGCCGGCCCGGCTAAAATAACTGGATGGCCTACCTGCCTGTCAGCCTTCCATCGGGGCACAAACTTATCTCGTGCCCTCATTGGTCATGTGTGCGTTCGTGTGTGTTGGAGGAGGGGCTCTGTAAGGAAGTGGCAGATTTTCTCCGGTTGTGTATTTTCAAATTCTAGCGCACTCGAGCCGGTTTCTCAAAATTACCTACCCTACCTTTAAAGCCACTAATATTAGCATTTTATTATCTCGACAGTTGGATTTCAGTAGTTGTGTAAAATTATTCCGACTCCTGTGATCCAAACATTTCCAACAACTCCAGAGCGTTAGAGATCCAAACACAACATTTCTTATGAAAAAGAAATAGAAAAATTTACTTTTTAAGAGGTTTTTAATTTAACAAATATTCTGCCTTAATCCACATTGAGGATGTTTAGTCTTTCTGAAACAACCTCTTCACTGTGGTCCAACACAGTTTACCCTCATGCTTGCCACACACACAGTCAAAGGTCTAGCAGCAATCTGTTGATTTAATTTGAAACAACATTAATTGAATCCAATGAATAACTTTAGTTAAATAGAAGACTGTGTTTTTTTGTTGATGAGCACCTAAAATACAATGACATAAAACCTCAACAGAAGCTTAAAGAAAAGGTAAACAAATATTCAGTACAGCCCTACTACCAATATAAAGTTACCTTGTGGTTTGAGGAGAGCACTTCCCTCTTCAGCTTCTCACACATGTCGTTTGAAGACTTCAGGCCTCCTTTCAGATTATCATACTCTCTGTAAAGAAGGAAGCAAGGAGATAAATGCACCGCGAGTGAAGACAGGGACTGAAGATCAAAAACGATGTTAAAATGATCTTTCTTACTTTTTGAGCGAGATGCAGTAGATGGAGAGCTGCTCCACCGCCGCCTGGCTGACCCCCATATCTGTGATCATGGACTCCACCTCTGACCTCTGACCCTGCAGCAACACGTCCACGCTGGGGCAAAGCAGCAGCAAGAGAAAGTCTTATTTTACAATGAAGGCTATTACGAAAAGTGGGCAAATTCTTTCCTTCGTTACTAGTTACGATTTTGGTAATATCTCTGTACGTGTCGAGATATATTGTTTATATTGTGATTTATAACGTGTGACCTAACCGGAAGATGACAGTACTTTTGTGTGAGACTGCAGATACCTTTCATAGGTTTTCATTCTGGTCCTGAGTCTGCGGGCTTCCTCCTTTAAAGCCTGAGTTTCGTTGTGTTGTGTCTCCAGGTACGTCATCTGTTTCTGTCAAAAACAATAATACAAATAGAGCATTGCAGAGACAATAGGAGTGAGTATGAAATTAGTTTAAACAAGAGACCAGACAGCTTACTCTGAGGGTACAACAGAGCATCTCCTTTTCCATAATCTCTTTCCGTACGCTGTCCAGGTCTCTGTTCTGCTTGTCCACAGTGTCCCTCAAACCGTCCAAAACCTTCTGTCTGTCCCGCCAGTCTCGCTCTGCAAAGTGATCAGATGGATAATAATAATCCTTATATTTATTATAGCGCTTTTTCAATGACTCTCAAAGCGCTCCTTACAAATACACATTACACATACATGTAATGGTCATGTACTGTGGACAATACCCACAGGAGCAAATTCAAGTGAAGTGTCTTGCCCAAGGACACAACGGCTTTACAGACGCAGCGGCGGGGGGGTTTCGCCCCCTTGATCTGATAATCAATGCACAGCGCCACACCGCCCATCTTCACACCTCGAAGTCATCAAGGCGCTTTACAAGTACACACTGATATCATACATGTACTGTGGACAATACCCACAGGAGCAAATTCGGGTGAAGGGTCTTGCCCAAGGACACAGTGACGCAGTGGCGGCTGGTTTCGAACTGGAGTTCCCCAACGCCCCCTTGATCTGATTATCAAACACACAGCCCACTGCGCCACAACGCCCCGCGGATGAACTACTGCTCTTAACAATCCAGCCTCAGACACTAAACACGTCGTTATGTTTCTTACCTTTAGAGCTTATAAGCACCTTCATTCGATCAAGTTCATTCTAAGAAAGACAAAAGACAAAAATATGAGATGCAAAATAACATCCAGATGATGTGATGACAAGAAGGACAATCGGGTACAAGATTCTCTGAAGCCTTAACAATTTATCTGCAAAAAAATGGGTTGTATTTTTGAGATGCTCTAGGTTTGTTACCTGCAAACTTTCAGGGTCCACCGAGCCGCCCTCCTCCTCTCCACCAACGTCAAAGAAGAGCTTGTTGATGATGTGTCTGGTGCTGACCTACACATTAGTGAACAACAGTATTAGTCTAGAAATGTATGTTGGTCCAGGTAGCTGTCAGTGTTGTTTGATAATGTAAAGTACTGTACGTGTTTTCGACATTGAGGACAGGTTTTTGTAGGGGCTGACTGAAACCACTGGAGAAGACTAAGCAAAGAGAGGAAAGGGAACAATTAGACATTTAAAGAAGTGTCAGAATCTAAATGCTGTATATTTGACTATCTGCATTAACGTACCATTCATAGTGGAAAGTGTGTCCGCAGTGGATGGCAGCAACATCCTTGGAGTGATCGAAGAAGTCGGAGCAGATTGTGCAATATGCTCTGATAGGCATCTTGCTGTCACAGGGATCCTCCTGTTATGAATCAGAAATCAGGTTTATTTCCAGGTGGATTCACACATATGAGGAATTTACCTTGGTGTTTATGGTGCATACATGAACAGAGTTAAAGAAGATACAGTGTAAGAAAAACAACCCCTACTAAAAACTAGTATAACATTAAATAAAATATAGAGAAATATTTACATGAAACATAGATATACCAAAAAACTACGTCCAATATAATATGACAAAATACTCCAATTACGAAAAGTGGAAAGCTGTGCAGAAATTAAAAGAGGTAGCTTTGTATACAAATGTGCAAAATACTCGGAGGGTTGTGCAGCTCTGACAATAAATAAAAACATGGTACTGTTGGCATAGTGACATTAACGTTACAGCAGCCGCTTTTAAAGGACGTAAACAAAGTGTTATGTTAACCTTTAGCATAAACGGGACCTTGTTTGGATAAAGCTGTAATCTTAATGTTAGCTGTCATTAAGCTGTTTGTTAACTTGGGGGTACCTACCTGTCAAGCCCTTTTAAGAAATGTAATGTATAAATTCATGTGTCGCCTAGAAGACTCTGACAATCATGTTATCTCGATTTTAATTAACCCTGTGAAGAGGTTACTTACTCGGTTCTCTTCCATGATTTGGAGACATTGGCGCAATAGTCTCCACAGACAGTGAGCATGTGTGGCTAGCTGTAATTGGACTGATTTTATGTTTTTTTTTATCTGTTTGTTTATTTGTTTTGTGTTTAGCTTTTGAATCTTATTTATTGATGTGTATCTTGTCATTTTGTATGTGATATGGACCTTGAGTCTGAAATAAAGATTGAATTGAATTAGCTAACATTAACACGCTTAACACAACAAGGCCTGCAGTCGTCAACATTGTGCCACGCAAAAGCTAGTTAGCTCCAGATAACATTAGCTGCAGTACCAACAATTGTCATACTTACTATCCAAAGACGTTAAATCACTGTGCTGTCCTTAAAATGAGAATAAAGCATCCCTAATCCAGTGTGGAATAAGACATTTAGTCGAGTTAAATGTACGCTGTTGACTTTAGCTAACAGCAACACACAATTGCTATTCCGTTTCCGCGCTGTACGTTCAAACACAAGTCCCGCCCCTAATGCTGCGTTCAGGTGGTGCTCGTAAACTAGGGACACTTTTAATTCAATGTCGGGATTCTACGGCCACTTTTTGTAATTGAAAATATCATTTTGCATGCTTTAAATACGACTTGATTCGTTCAGGGTGAAAAAAGCTTCCATATAACAGATATTCGTTGATAATAACTGGTTTTATTTGACTAAAATCGTCCTGTCTTCTACTCTAAAGCATTTACCTGGAAGAGAACTTCATTACCCACAATTCCTACTTCCGCAACCTAACGTTAACCGTTAGCAGGGCATGTCAACCAGCAAGAAGAACTACAGTCATGTTCCTGCTTGTTATCTACTGTTAGTTGCAGTAAATGTGACAGGCGAGTCGTGGAGCACATGCAGACAGTTCCGGGAATGAAAGGTAACACTTGTGAATGTTTCAAACGAGTCATGAGAGCTGCTAAAGCGAAGACAAACGGACAGCTAGCAGTAGAAACTACTACTGTGCTAAAGTTAGCTAGCATTTGGAGTTCTTCGTTAGCATAGCGTACGCCTCTATACAGCTGAAGCAGTGTAAACACGAAGGAGACATGTTACAGGCATAGACTGTATATATAAAGGTTACAGGCAGAGGTGGGAGAGGTACTCAGATGTAGGAATACTCTGTGACAAGTAAAAGTCCTGCTTTCAAAATGTTATTTTAGTAAAAGTACAAAAGTATTAGCATCAAGATATACTCAAAGTGCCAAAAGTAATAGTACTCATCATGCAAATTGTCCCATTTCAGAAAATCATATGGTTTGAGTATGATTATTAATGCATTAATGTGTTAATCAAAGATGGTAAAGGTGCTGATGGTTTTAATTACTTGTTCTACTGCAGGATAGTTTCTGAATGTTACTACAGGTGTGACTACATTTCACAATTTAATCCAAATATGCAATGTAACTAAAGGTATTCAATGAATGTAGTGGATCAAAAGTACACAGTTTACCATTGAATTGTAGTGGGCTAGAAGTACAAAGTAGCACACAATTGAAATACTCAAGGAAAGTACAAGTTCCTCAAAATTGTGCAGGACTTTCCACCACTGGTTACAGGATTCTTTTATTTTGTCTTTGGATTTAGCAACACACCAGCTTGTAACTTTAGCAACGGAAGTGAAACTGAGCTGTAGTTATAACATTGCTCGTAAAATATAAAGGGTTAAAGTCAGACCATAACATGTCATCATAGTAGCACATCAGTGTTGGCAGAAGTACTCAAATCCTTTACTTAAGTACAAGTACAAATACTATGGTCTTAAAATACTTCACTACGAGTAAAAGTCCTGATTTCAAAATGTTACTCAAGTAAAAGTACTAGCATCAAAATATGCAAAAGCAGTACTAGTTCTGCACAATGACCCATTTCAGAATAACATAAGGTAAAGATGTGTTATCAGCGTCATTTACTTCAAGTATCAAAAGTGAAAGTACTTCTTATGCAGAGTTGATCTTTTCACACAATTACATTATGATTATTTTATTATGCTGTTTTTGAACAAGTAAGAGCATTTTAGTCTTGTCAATGTGGACCAAATATCATAACCATAACTATATATATATATATATATATATATATCTAAAGGTCACAACCAGCTTGATCATCAGCCATGTGTCATGCACTAAGCTGTTGACCTTTGGTCTCATGGCTCTCTGTTTCTCTGCCAGGTGTGTGTCCCTAACACGAGCAGCAGTGATGGAAGGAGACTCCCAGAGGGCGTCGGCCTCCTGGGAGAACGGGACTCTGGCTCCTGGGGAACACCTTCGCTCCGACAGGGCGGACAGCCCCCTCCCGGGCCTGGTGGAGGGAACAGAACCAGGTGAGAGTGGTCAGATTGTCAGTAGACTCAGTCACACAGACCTGAAGTCAGCAGTGGAATATTATAAAGTACATTTACTCAAGTCCTTTACTTATGTAGGCTACAATTATGAGGAAGTTGTGTTGTCTTATGGCATGTACATGTCATTTTATTTGAGTTATTCCATCTTGTGGTAAGACCCACAAGATGATATTAGAAAACATAAAAAACGTTTACAGTACACGAGTAAACTGTTTACAGTACACCTGTGTCCCTTTATACAAAGCAACTACTAAGGATAAGTAGAGATCCACCGTCCTGAATGCTAAGTAATAACTCTTATGCAGAGTTTCATTGACATATAATTCAAGTTATTTGTTATTTCCTTACTTGCATCCAGCCAAAAAAGCTTCAAAATAGGAGCAGAGCATATTTGCATCAGAATACGCTGTGAAAGTATATTCATGATACTTTATTGTACCATGTCAAAAAGTGAAGTTCCCCATTTTTTACGCGTGCAATCTAATGGGAAGGACTCACACTGAGCATTGTGTGATTGTGTGTGTGTGAGTGATAAAGCATGACTTTGCACATCCTGTTTGTGCAAAGAAATATTGAAAATATCTTTATCTGACAGAAGATCAGGGGAGTAAGAGAGAGGGGTTTGACGTTGCGATTATATCATTACATGTTACTTGTTAGACACTTTTTATCCAAAGCGACTTACATATTCAATACTGTGGACAATCCCCACAGGAGCCATGTGGGGTGAAGTGTCTTGCCCAGGGACACAACGACATGCTGACTGCAGTGGGGTTTGAACCTCTTGAAACACCAATGCACTAGTCCACTACGCCACACGCCTCCTTCCCTATATGGCCTGCGTTGTAACTACTCAACTACCAATTCGCTCTGAGGGGAGCGCTCTTGTAATAAACTTGACAAGGAGCTTCTAAATGCATCCTTTATTTGGGTCTCTGTGACACTAGATTGTTAGTTCTGTAATAATCTCTTTAACTATATGTGACGGAACAACTTTAATGCATTAGGGAAACCTTGCCAACAGTCATAAGACAGAAACAGGGTCTGTTATACTGTATTAATGCAGAGATCTCCTACAGAAGAAACATGTCCTGGTAAAAGCATGTCATCAGCGGCTGAGGTATGTCACATCCAGCTTGAACAAATCCAACTCTTGACAGATGTGACGTAACCTTTCCGGGATTAGCTCTTCTGAGTCTTGACATAAACATGACATTTTTGCATTTTTGTGCAGCGATTCATTATCAGTCTATTCTTCTCCTACTTTCTCTTTCCTAAGTTGACATTAACCATGACGGGAGTTTATTCTGTCTGACAACCTAAAGAAGGACCATTCTTGTTTTTTTAACGCATTCCTTAATACCACATTTAATCTAGGCTTTTCTCAGGCTGTTGCTAATATCAGTCAGTGTGCCAAAACAACATGTTTCCTTCTGGGAAATGTTTTGTCTGTTTGTTTCAGTAAAAGAATAAACATGGCATAATATCAGCATTTAAGAGAGTATTTCAGTATCACTTTCCAGCTTTTTCAGCTGCCTTTTTCGGCCAAAATCAGCCCGATTTGGGAATGTGTCATTGGAGTTTGAGACAGTCCTGGATAGTTCTCATCAGAAATCTTGTGAGGAAAGTGGTTGTGTGTTGCTCTAAAGAGGTGGGGGAACTATCCAGACGTACATTTGCCAAATCAAACAGTTATTCTCTACCCTTTAAAGTATTTTCTCTTGTTGACCAAAAATTGTCTTGACCAAAAAACGTCCAGAAAAGTCTAAATCAAATGTGTTGAAGTTTGTTTTTACAACTATGTTAAAAAAACACCATGTGCACTAAAGGATTATTCTGTATAACTCTGCTTAACATTTGACCATCATGTTCACTTTCATCACCACAGGTGCTGGTCAGAAGAGTGCGATGTTCGTCCATGCTCAGTCCTTCGAGGATCTGACCGCTGAGGCTGAGGAAGAAGTTCAGAGGGAGGCCGAAATCAACAAATCAGGAGAGAGTGAAGAGGAGCTGAAGGTGCTGGTGGGAGAGAAGGAGCCACACAGCAGCGACATGACGTCAGAGAGTAGGACTAAGGAGGAAGACGTGACCAGCGAGGCGTGGAGGAGCCACAGGAAACACGTGTTCGTGTTGAGCGACGCTGGAAAGCCGATCTACACTCGCTACGGCACGGAGGAGGCTCTGTCCAGCATCATGGGGGTGATGATGGCCCTGGTGTCTGTCGTTGAGGCCGAGAAGAACATCATCCGTTCCATCCAAGCAGGTCAGACTGTACTTTGGTTTCATGATATTAGGGAAAGGTGATATTTTGACGTGATATCCATATAGTGAATTGAGTGTGAATCCTCTTGGATTTTGAATATCTCAATTTGTTATACATTTTCTTTTTCCTGGTTTTAGGCTGTAATTAAATCGGCCCGGGAACATTTATTTTATTTCTTAATTTTTGGGCCAGTTTAGCCTCTATTAGAGATATCCATTTGAAATGGGGAGATACAGGGTTTCTAATTCTACCATGTTAACTATGCCAAGGGGCTGGTCTGTGTTATTGTGTCTAATCACAGTGCAGCTTTCAACTCAGAGCAGAAAACACCTTCTTTTTATCCATTGTCCAATAAGATTGAAAGGCATGTTTTTTGTGGTGACATTATTTTTCATAAATCTCGCCCCTTTGGACGTTTCATCCCCTCTGTCTCCCCTTTTCAAAGCTATCTCTCTGTTAAAGACTAAACAAGCCCAAATAAGTTGAAAAAACGGTGTGAAAAGTGTGTGTTATGAACAATATTGAATCAATATTCTGCATATTCTCTCAGATGGCTGTAAAGTGGTGTTCCTCACCAAGAGCCCTCTGGTGCTGGTGGGCGTGTCCCGCACCTGTCAGTCGGACAAGGAGCTGCTGCGGGAGCTGCAGTACATCTACTACCAGATCGTCAGCCTGCTCACCCTCACCCAGCTCAACAACATCTTCAAGAACAAGCAGAACTACGACCTGCGCCGCCTGCTGTCCGGCTCCGAGTACCTGACGGACAACCTGCTGACCCGCCTGGAGCGAGACCCTGGCCTGCTGCTCAGCGCCGTCACCTGCCTGCCTCTGGCCAGCTCCACCCGGGACACCGTGTCCTCCAGCCTGCAGGCCGCCAAGTCCAAGAACCTGGTGTTCTCCATCCTGCTGGCAGGGGACCGCCTGGTCACTCTGCTGAGGAAGAAGGACCAGTTCCTGCACCACATAGACTTGCACCTGGTGTTCAACCTCGTCGGTTCCTCTTCCTCGTTTCGTGAAGGCGAGGGCTGGACGCCGATCTGTTTGCCAAAGTTCAACACCGCAGGATTTTTCCACGCTCACATTTCTTACCTGGAGCCCGCGTCCGAGCTCTGCCTCATCCTGGTCTCCACCGACCGAGAGGACTTTTTTAACATGTCCGACTGCAAGCAGCGCTTCATGGAGAGGCTGAGCAAGCGCAGCGCCTACCCGGCTCTGAAGGAGGCTCTGAAGTCTCCCACCTACTCTGTGGAGCAGGTGGGCATCCTGGAGCTCAGGCACTTCCTGTACAAATCAAAGAGCTCAGGGCTGTACACCAGGTGGGCGGGACGTCTGAGCAAACATTTTCATGTGTTTAATTAATGTCACAATCATGCAAAAAAACCTCTGATAATCATGTCATCCCTCCTCCCTCTTAATTTCCTCTCCAGTCCAGAGTTCCCTGATGTGTATAAGTCTGACTGTGAGCAGGAGAGGCTGATGGGATTGTACCAGGACCTCCACAGTAGCTTGCACCACCCGACCAGACCTCTCCGCTACGTCTACCGCTGTGGGGAAACTGAAAACCTGCTGGCGTGGGTAAGCCTGGGAGATCAGATGATTGTAGTCTTTATTTATTTTTAATACTTTAATTTTAAGTTTTTAAGACATTACAAAGGAAACAACATACAACATACAGGTCACTGGGGTAATACATCATCAATATGTTCTCAGCAATTATTCTTGTGATATGGGAAGATCTCCCTCACAACGGGTTCACAACAAATCTGTGTGAAACATACAGTAGTAGCAAAGTTATGCAAGAATTATAGATTATTGTACCAAAAGGAGTAAAGCAAAAATAAAAGAATTATCTCAGGTTTATGTGACCCCCCCTCTTCATGTGCCAAACCCATTTGGACCAGTAATTGTCAAATTTTTCAGATGATTGTAGTCTTTAACAGGATTTCATAACTGCTGTGGGCTCAGTTTTCACAATAGAGTGTCAGACATGAAATTAGGAAATGCCTCAGAGCAGAGCGGGACAACATTGTGAATATTCGTGGCTGAAATATTATAATTGATGCTTTAGAAAATGTATCAAACAATGTCAAATATTATTTACTTCTCATCCAAACTGTCAATAATTATGTTAAAGATAAGAAAAAATTGAAAGCATTTTAAATAAAATAGCCTAATAATGTTTGTAATTTAGTGTGCTGCATTAATGAACATGTAGATAATGTATCTAGACGGTGACTTTAACACTACTATAAATCCTAAATTAATGTTTCGAACACAATGTATTTTAATCATGACATCAAACATTTTAATCTGCCATACTTTGCATAGGTATGAATTATTTGTATTAATACAAAAGTATATCTGCAAATAAATAAAATCCGAATTAAATAAATAAATCTAGAAAGTCAGTTTGGTCCTTTGCATTTCACATATCACACAGAGCTAAATCACTCATAGAATAGTGTGTTACACATTGAGCAAACCTTGTAACACCGCATGTGTTTGCCTCTTCAATTAATATGTTGGTGGTATGCTGGTACTCATCTTATTTTTGCATTTTTATCTGCACTGTCCAATTGCTGTGACGCTGTAAATGTCCCCGCTGTAGGACGAATAAAGGATTTGTGATTCCTCTCCCTCTGTTTCCTGCAGGTGACGAGCGGCTTCGAGCTCTACCTCTGCTTCAGTCCTCTGGGGACGAAGGCCCTGGCCGTCGCTGCTGTCACCAAACTGCTGAAGTGGATCAGGAAGGAGGAGGATCGCCTCTTCATCCTGAGTCCTCTCACATACTGAGTCCTCTCACATACCGAGTCCTCTCACATCCTGAGTCCTCTCCCATCCTGAGTCCTCTCCCATCCTGAGTCCTCTCACATCCTGAGTCCTCTCACATACTGAGTCCTCTCCCATCCTGAGTCCTCTCCCATCCTGAGTCCTCTCCCATCCTGAGCCCTCTCACATCCTGAGTCTCCTGAGTCCTCTTCATCCTGAGTCCTCTCCCATCCTGAGTCTTCTCCCATCCCGAGTCCTCTCACATACTGAGTCCTCTCACATCCTGAGTCCTCTCACATACTGAGTCCTCTCACATACTGAGTCCTCTCACATACTGAGTCCTCTCACATCCTGAGTCCTCTCCCATCCTGAGTCCTCTCCCATCCTGAGTCCTCTCCCATCCTGAGTCCTCTCCCATCCTGAGTCCTCTCCCATCCTGAGTCCTCTCCCATCCTGAGCCCTCTCACATCCTGAGCCCTCTCACATCCTGAGTCTCCTGAGTCCTCTTCATCCTGAGTCCTCTCCCATCCTGAGTCCTCTCCCATCCCGAGTCCTCTCACATCCCGAGTCCTCTCCCATCCCGAGTCCTCTCCCATCCCGAGTCCTCTCCCATCCCGAGTCCTCTCCCATCCCGAGTCCTCTCCCATCCCGAGTCCTCTCCCATCCCGAGTCCTCTCCCATCCCGAGTCCTCTCCCATCCCGAGTCCTCTCCCATCCCGAGTCCTCTCCCATCCCGAGTCCTCTCCCATCCCGAGTCCTCTCACATCCCGAGTCCTCTCACATCCTGAGTCCTCTCCCATCCTGAGCCTGTCTGCAGACTCACCTCCTGAAACTAAAAGCATCACCCCTGAACAACTGCAGCTCGGTGTTAACTACTGATTGACGGAGCGATGCTTTTCTCCCCCCTTGCTTCTTGATTCTTTTAATCTAACTCACAGACTCCTGATGATTGTGCAATGAAAGAAAGCAATTTTATCTTGATTTGTTTTATAACTTAAAATGTAAAAAACAACGGATGAAAGCAGCATCATCAATGACCCAATGGTGGTGCTCAGTTCTTTAAAGTCAAGAATAACATTTCAATTGAAAAACTGGAATTTCTGTGGACCTGCGGGGGATGTATTGTTATAGATAATAGTTAACCACATTCCTATTATGTTTTATCTTTTACGTGATGATCAATTACTGTATGTCGTTTTTACCTCTATGCACCTTCTTTATGCAAAAGAAACTCCGATGACAAACGTGTTTATGATTCTGTAAACTTTTTACTGCATTGTTAATGTCTTATCACGAAATTTAAATTATTTCATTGACCATGAGACATTTTTCTTGCTTTACCATATTATCACATTTGTTAAGAACAGTATTGTGTGATATGTTATGTTCTTGTGTCTAATCATTAAGGTTCGTTGTATTTCACAGGATCCCGTTGCCACATCCGCCTCCACTAATCACGCCTGAACTGGTGGTTATTGTGCAAAGCCAATTTAAGGGTGCTGCAGAATTACAGATGACTTAAATATGAATAATTATGGCTTGTAATAAAAAGAGTATGAGTCTTGCTGGGCTGTGACCTTGGTGTTTTCTTATTTTAATTTGTTTTAATGTTTTATTTCATCATCTTCCAGGCAAATGTTTAACTTCAAGGTCCATTGATGTTTTTTTACTTTGTATACAAGTTCATTGAAATAATCGACGATAAAAAAAGACTTCAAGTATTTAAAAGTATACCATCACGAGTGGGTTATTTCAGGAGAACAACATGAGACCCGCAGAAATATTACTTTGTTGCCTAAACAATTAGGAAACTGTACAATTAGAGCGGGATACAAATAGTGCCCGGATGTTTCTTAGTGAGGGATTACGCCTTAGAACAAGGGGAATATCTGAGAGCATTCTGGTGTGACAATGACATGGTGTAGTGTTGAAAATATCCCAAATAATGACAGTATAGCATGTCGAACATTTTAGAAAAAAACAACTTGTGTCAAAAATACAAAAACAGACCAAAATGATGTCAAAAAAACATCAGAAAAATAAAGGCATAGTATGGTTATTTGTGATATTAGAAAAAAAAATACATGTAGTATATAAGACGCAAATATCAGGAAGAATTACATAGCACACTATGTCACTAAATAACAAAAAACAACATGTAGTCAATTCTAAACTTTGACTTTGGTCATATTTAGATTATGTTGAAAATATCAGAAAAAACATGGTATTGCATGTCGGAAAACTGAAAAACTTGCATGGCATAGTCCGTCTAAATATGACAAAGGTCAAAGTTTAACATTTTGAATAACACAATGAAAATGTATAGGAAAAAAAATAGGAAAAAGTGAGTGCAGTATGTTTAAAAAAAGTAGGAACTTTCATGAAAAATCATAGAATTCTGCAAAAGCCTTTTCCTTCAAAACAAGTATGTATTCTGATCGGCAGGAGATCAATAATGTGTAATGTGATTATGGTAGCAGTGCTACCATAATCACATTACCGAAAATATATAACAATACAAATATTCAATAACTTCCCCGTCAAAGAATAAGGTGCTACCGTAGTTGCCGGGGAAGTTATTGAATATTTGTATTGTTATATATTTTCGGTGTTGCACTTTGTAGACGGTCCCTGCGGAGTCTCTCTCCTCCGGGTGCAGACAGAGAGCAATGTAAGTTCTCCAAGGTTTTTTTTTAGTTTTTTTTTATATTATTGATCCTTTCGAAAACGTTGATATCTTTTTCTAATTTTACCGAATTACTTGCATGATGGCATCACGTGCGTCACATTAAAAGGTGGGCACAGCAACACAATGAGGGTTAATTGGGTTTGCTGTGAGGAGGGAGGAGCCCGGAGCTGCGCTGAGGCTCAGAGGACTTACCCAACCTGGGAGTGAAGTTAAATCCGAAACCAACATACTTTACATGTCACAGCGCATTGTGAGAACTGTCCGGGTTTCATTTTGATCACAAATTCATTCTAAAGGTGTAATAATCTTGAAATTACCTGAGCAAAGAGCCATTCTCACTGCGCTTTTTCTAAAGTCAAGACAAGGAGCGAACCTGGCAGAGTGTGCTTCCCTGAAGAAGACAGAGTCTAACCTGCACAGGTAAAATCTTCACAACACTCACAGCTGCATGAAACGGATAGTATTTAAGAAACTAGAACATTATTAAAAGAATAACATATTATATATTATAGCAAATATATAGATATTATAACCGACAAGCAGAACAACCGTACAGAAACATAGTATAACAGGAGCATTACACATGTCATATTGTTTTGAAAAAGTGTAACCATATTGTACCTCTAATTTTAAACCCATTTTTTTTGTAGTACAAGTTGCTTTTGTTGCAACTGGCAAGTTGTGTTTATGTGATGACAACTAAAAAAGATGTGCTGATAACCATTCACAGAGAAAGGTGTTGCCTTATTTGGTGCATTTGTTGGAAGCATTTTGATATTTGGAATAGAGCCAGAATCTACTGGCATGATTTCACTGAGCAGGATAGGAAACAAGGGCATACACAAAGAGATAAGATCAATTAGGACAAGAAAGGACAAGAAAAGGCCTTACAAACATGATGCTGCTTCTGTGAAATTGTTAGAATTGATTTGGGTTACCATGTTGACTTCCTCGATTCATCTTCCATCAATTTTGAAGAATAAACAAAAAGAAACCATCCTTATATTAATGTTTTGTAACTGTTGTCGCTCCGCACTGTTGGGTTTTGTTTAGGATGCATGTCCTGCCGCTGAATCAATACTTCATGTCCTTTGGGAACAATTCGTTTTTGACCATAGATTGTTTGTACAGCAGATTGCCTTCTCAAATCCCTGTGGATATCTGTGTTGTGATCGATGAAAGAGAGATGCTCTCTATTACTCTAATGAACTGCCACCAAAGTGTCCGGCACTAATTCATTAAAGCTGTTGCACAATGCAGCCAATACAATGTCCGCATCCCATAGCCTCACAGGATGCTGTTGTAATTAAACGATAATAAAAAAGAGAAGTCAAATATGTCAATCCATTTGGATGCCAAGAATACAAATTCACTAGTCAGAAATGTTGAGGAATAAAAGTAACATATGAACTGTTAATCAAAATCCTGCAACCTTAATTCACCATAATGTGACATTTTGGGTTAACTGGCAATAATTGGTTATCTGCCAATCCATAAAAGAAATCCATATTGTGAATCCCTAACTCCCCTGTGATGGATTACAGTGGTACAAATCCTGCATGCTGACCAGCCTGTAAATAGCACCTTTAGTACAATGAATGGAAACTCAATTTCAACCATTTGCTTTATTAACCACGAACATGAAGAAAGTCAATCAGTGTCATTACTATGTATACCCATGTCTTCTAACCTTAACCTTTCACTTGGACCGGCAAATGTTAAAATGTAACACAACTTTAGTGGGAATCTATGAATTATTGATGTGAGGACGCCATACTTGATCTGAAACTTTCCACATAAGTGCTTAAAACCGAAAAACTGATATTTTCTTGAAATAATATTGGACAGATTAAAGTTTCTCTGCTGTCAAATATAAAAATAATCGTTGAGGAAATTCTCTGGCACGAGCAAGCAAGCCGTTGCTCTTGCACCTGAGGCTTAAAAAGGCACATGTCGTCTTATGATCATCAGTCCGTGCACATCGTTCCCCCTGAGAGGCACGTATTGATTGTGACAGGAATGCAAAGCAGAGAGGCCAGGTTCTTGAAAACAGCCTAACTCTGATGTGTCTAGTTAATGATCCACCGACGGCTGCTCAGGATGAAGACAGGGCTCAGAGTTTGAAACACGGTTCCATTTGGTTGGTTGTTTGAAGACGGATAAAGACGAACCACTGAAAAATGCTCAGTTTTAGTTGATACTTTTGATTACTTTCAGATCTCTTGCATAAAAGAGCATGACTCACAATGGAAGAAACAGATGTTGGATTAACCAGAATAAACAGGACTAGACTGAATGACTCGTGCAGGAAGTCACAATACAAATAGTTTTAATACATTGTCTACGACCAAAACACAGCACTCTGTTTTATTATGTAAACAGTCCCTCTAAGTGTTTGAGGTGAGTCAGAGGAAGCTTTTATATTTATGACCACATGTACTCTCATCTTCATCTGGCTCAACCGAGATGAGGGTAGTTGTCACCTTAAGGCCCTGACACACCAGGCCGAAATCGGCCGTTTTCGTTAGTCGGACGACGAAGCGTGCCCTGTCGCCCAAACTCAATTTGGTGTGTCCCGCTCCGTCGGCCGTGACACGCCTTATTTGGCCTTTCACGGCCTTTGCATCGGCCACATGCAGTCGGACAAAGAAATCACTCTGATTGGCTGTTCAGCTAGCGAATGAGAAGCGAAACGGTTGCTTGAGAATGTCTTCCACAAGCAATACTCCAATGGCTGATAGCTCCAGACCGCACGAAACATGTTTTTGATGGATGAGAGTGAAAATGGAACGCACACGCTATTTGTTGTTTGTTTAGATCACGCAGTCTGTTCTTCTTCTCTGTCTTCCGGTTGTTGCCTCTTTTGAATGACGAATACACACTACCGCCGCCTGCTGGTAAGGAGAGTTATGGCCACTCACGCATGCGCAGTTCGTACGTGCTCGGCTGAAGTCTTTGCGGTGTGTTCCAGTGCGACACATGGCCAAGACGCAGGAGAACACGGCGACGCAACAGTCGGCGTCGGCGAGTTCTCTGGTGACTGCTTGGTGTGTCAGGGCCTTTAGATCTGTTTCAGTGCAGTACATTCAGTGATATTGGTTCAAAATGTCATTAGTCAAAAATATCCACGGTAACATCATCATAAAACTTTTTTTTTGTCAGGCCATTGTGGTGTACAATGTTTCTACTGTTCCCTTGCTATAGATAGATAGACTCTATAAAATAATAACACCTCAGATTGTTTATAAGTCTAGGACAAAATGATCCTACTTCTCTCATGATTTACAACCTCAGATTGTATAGAAGTCTTTCAGGATATATTCCTAATCCTCTCTTGAGAAGTAAACATTTTCTGACACATTTTAAAGTTTTAAACCAGCTTTAGTGTAGCTTAAGCCTACAGATTAAGTAGATGAGTTCTGAAAAAGAGGTTTCATTTGCGTGTGGCGCAGTGGACTAGTGCGTTGGTGTTCGGATCAGGGGAGCCCCACTGCAGTCAGCATGTCGATGTGTACCTGGACACTTCACCCCAAATTGCTCCTGTGGGGTTGCCCACAGTATTGAGTATGTAAGCCACTTTGGATAAAAGCGTCTAACAAGTAACATGTAATGTAATGCAAAAGAAACCGGTTAATTCCTTTGGAAAACCGGGAGATGAGTTTGAGGGCAATGAAAAAAAAGCTAGTTAACTAGAAGGGCACTTGGGACAGAGGTTGAAAAAAATAGCTGCATCCACCAAATGATTCTGATGACACTATAAAATGGTATGGGTTCCTCCATGGCCCATGCTACACCCCTACAGCAAGATTCATGACAATTTTGCCAGTAGTTTTTCTGTAATATTGCTGACAAATAAAAACAATCAAGCGGAGGTAA